AAAGTTCCTTCGGTTGCAGTTAAATCTAGAAAATGCTATATGAGCATCGGTGCCTTGAAGGAATTGGAGCCTTCCACTGAACTACGTGCCACTGAGTAAGTTATTACTTTAGTTGAATCGATGCTTTATTTTCTACTTGAACATTTTTGGGTTGTATATTGTAGTTGGTGGATCTTTAGTTGAATTATGAATTTATTGGGTACTTAGATATATTTGAATTGTGCAATGTAGTTGGTGAATAATTGAGCAGCTATATGTATTTTGAGTTCTCTAATGTAGTTTATGCATAGTTTTGTTGAATTGTTGCTTTGTTTCATACTTCAGCATTCGTTAGTTGTGTATAGTAGTTGGTCGATCTTTGAAATGAATTATTGTGCAATGTAGTAGGTGGATTTTTATTTGAATTATTGTTTTATTATATACTCCGTATCAAATAGGTCGTGTTAATGTAGTTTTTTATATTACTCGGGCTGATTTTGACAGAGTCTATCAAGAATGTATGAATGAGGTCTATCAAGAATATGTATGAATGATGGGAGTGATGAAAGCATCGCTAACACGTTAGCTTACGAACGAGTATTGGGAAAAACTAAAAGACTTGAAATCGGTTGCTCAAGTTCAAAGAAATGGGGGAAGGTCCAACTTGTCTTCTACTGGTAGAGATGAAGAAATAGGGGCTTTAAAAGAAGATAAAAGGACGAACATTTTAGGGCCCAAGGTGTCGAGTTCCATCCCCAGAATCCATCCGGCGAAAGTAACTAGTTTCCTCGACAACATTAGGTTTGGGTACTTTACTTCATGTGTGAATGATTTAAGTTTTTATTTGGATTATTTTGTGTTTGGATGATTTTGTGATTTGGAATGTTTGGATGATTTTGTGATTTGGAATGTTTGGATGGTTTTGTGATTTGGAATGTTTGGATGGTTTTGTATTTTGAAAGAATATTTTGGATGATTTAATTTAAGCGATTTGTTTAATATTTTGTGTATTTAATTTTATTGGTATTGTCTATAATTACAGGTAAATTAAGAATTAAAAATAAAAATCAGAATTATATTAAAAATATATTCATAAATTTGCGACGTTTACAAAGACATATTGCGACTTTTTTAATTTTTCGTCGCATGGTCACAATAGTTAATTGCGACGATACGACAATATACGTCGCAAATTTATAACAAAAGTCTGCGACAATTAGTACAAAAGCAACGCAAAGAGAAAAAAATTGCGACGAATTATGTTAGGAAAATATAGTCGCAATAGTGTGCGACGATAAATATTCGTCGCAGTTGGAGGACGAATATAGCGACTATTTGTAGATTTCGTCGCAATATATCCGAAAACGAAAAAAATGCAAATTTGCGACGTTTCTGATCAATCGTCGCATAAGGTTGCGATGTTTTGGTTAAGCCGTCGCAATAGTTTGCGACGGGCACTTTTTTGACTTTTTTTCCGGCCCGTTTCGTCGCAAATTTTAATTTGTCGTCGAAAATGAGGTAATTTCGTCGCAAAAAAATGTCGCCTGAAATGAAATCCAACATATTTTTATCTTTTATTTGCACTAATATTCATAACATAGTATTATATATTTAATAAATTTGTATCTTTTTAATGCAATAATTACTTAAATAGATAATATTATTTATATTAGAAGACAATATTAATAACATAGTATTATATTTTTTTTTAATGCAATGAATTTATTATTTTGTAAATTCATGTTGTTGCCAATACATTATTATTTAGGAACAAATTATTTTGTTAGAATTTATCTATATTGTTTTTAATATGTGTTGTACGATTAACAACAATTAACATCGTCGTCTAATAACATTCAGTTGCAACAAAATTATTTCATTGTCGATTATTTACTCTTTTGGTACGATTATGTTTGTTGCAAATTTATTTACCATTTACAATGATGTATTTCTTTGCCTTTTATCACACAGTGACAACGAAATACAATCGTTGTCAATCAAAATGTATTTGCTACAATTTCCTATCGTGGCAAACGTAATTTTTTATTTCCTACAAAAGAATGTGTTGCGATTGGTTACATTCGTTGCCAAATGTATACGATACTATTAACGACCATATGTTTCGTTGTTGAATGAGATCCAAAGTCTACGAACATATTTTGTTGCAAAAATCAAAATAATTGGCTACAAACTTACATTTGTGTTGTTAATATGTAATTATTGGCAACGGATTTCACGTCGTAGCTGAACAAAGCGCTGTCAATTTGTCCGGTAAGATACGGTAGCGTCGTGTGAGTGTGGATGCCATTTTTTAAATTCATTCTCCATAGTCCATCGTATCGATTTCTGCTACAGTATATACGAAACGGACATCCACATTACTTTGTTCCCACATTTTGTTGTCTCACACCTTCGGTTCGTTTTTCACGTCCCTTCCTAGACACATGACATCTAATTACTACATAAACGTTTTTCTGGCTTGAAGTTACTATCAATCGATGACCGTGAGTAGCAGCCGTTTTTTTACCCATACCAATAATTCTTTCCCAGTTTCAAATTCAACATCCACATTGAAATATTGACTGTGCTCCTCAGAAGTTGTTTGTGTGTTTTGAGGAACATCATAATACATGTTGGGATCGTCGTACTTGTCGTCATATTCAATAGCAAACTCATCGTTAAAATCATCGTCAAAATCACCTTCACTAGCCTACCAAGGTATAACAAATAACAATTAGTATATTAATAACACTATGAATAAAATAAATTAAAAAAAATATATAAAAACTTGGGGTTCCCGTGCCCTAGAGGACGATTGTTCGTGTTTCTCGTCCTCTAGGGAACGGGAAACACAACCTTCCGTCCCCTAGGGCACGGGAATCCGAAGTTCCCGTTCTTTATAGGACGATTGCACCAATTTTATTTTAGTTTTTGTTTTTCCCGTGTTGTGTAGCACGGGAAACCCTAAAAATTTGGGTTCTCGCGCTGCACAACACGATATTAACGCTGCAAAAAACTAAATTCACTAATTTCTTCGATTTTACCTCGCAGAAGTCATCCGAATTGGCCATTATCTTATTTGTTCTCGGGCAGTTTATTTATCAAACAAACTTCAAATTTTTTTTTTCGACTTTTTTAAGTTGAAAGCGTTTTGAGTTTTTTAGAAGAAAAAAGGTGAAATGAAAGTACTACTGCAAATAAGTCAATTTCAGTAAAAGTCAAACTACAATTAGCATTTAAGTAGCCAGAAATGATCCCTCCAAGAGATCGATCTCAGAATTTTTTTTTCAATAAGAAGTAGGATAGACCTTATCGCAGCTATTGCAATTTAAATGGCCATACTATTGAAACTTGCTACAAGATTCATAGATATTCTCCAGAGTATAAGTCCAAGAAGTTCACACGATTCAAAACATCAATCGAGCTTTCAAAAGGCTCATGTTCTTCACATTACTTGTTAGGAGTGTCCGGTAAAACCAAAGGTATTGTAACTTCTCTAACTTATCGTACATAGTTGTATTATGGATTCTGGAGCTTCCGAACACATTTATAATTATAATGTTTATTTTTATCTCTTAGACCTATTAAAAATGCTTCTGTAATTCTTTCAGACAACATTTCCTTTCAAGTTCAGTTTATTGGAGATGCACATCATAATAACTTGATTATGCATAATGTCTTCTTTATCCCAGAGTTTAAGTATAATATTACTTATGTCTCTTCTTTACCGCAAAATGTTGGTTTTGTGCATTTCTCTTGTGGTGGTTTTTTCGTTCATGATTAATCCCGAGTCACCAATGTGATAGGTTCGAATATTTACCACTATACTATAATATTTGGTTCTGTAAAATATTACTCCCTCTGTCTCATATTATTTGTCTTTTTAGAGAGTTTTTTTGTCCCATATTATTCGTCATTTTACATTTTCAATGAAGCATTAAAATTGTATTAATTACTTGTCAAACAATATCAAGTGTATTTTAGTAAATTTCTATGTTTTTTAACTATAATCCATGCACATTTTTTAGTGATTTGAATTCCGCAAGTTGGGATGTTTCCAATTTTGCGGTATTCTATGTTTAGGAATTATTTCGTTCTTTGCCTTTTTGGTAATTTTCTCGTTTGACTAGGGTTTTTCGTTTTCTTTAGTATAAATAGTTGCTCTAGGGTTTATTTTTCAGCATCTTTAATTATCAATAAAATTTATGAGTTTTCTCTCAATTATCTAGTGGATTCCAGAGTTATCGTGTTCTATAAGATTAATTCGTAGAAATTAGTTCTTCACCGTGCTTCCGTTTGTAACAAACCAAAATATCATTTAAATTGAGACGGATGGTGTATATTTTAATATTTACTATATTTGATACGTAGTTTCTATAATTAGAAATACCAAAGTACTTATAAATTTGTCACAAAACTTCAATAATGCTAATTCACTTACTGACAATTCTATAATGTCAATCAAATGACTTACCTTGTTTTCTCATATGTAATGTGATTCAACTTTCGAGAAAATGTGATGGGAATAATTTTTTCACATTTTCAAATTAATTAGGCAAGTAGTCCAACGTTATAGTCACTGAAGTGTATATTATGGTACGTAGATTTCAATTGTTTAGTCAATTGATAAGGTTGACTTAATAAAACTTTAATATAGTAATATAAGGACCTTATAGTAATATATTACTCTAACAAGGGTCCCAAATGATTATTGTATATAATTCCCAATCGAAATATGAATGCAAAATTTGATAAAATCTGTAATCAATGTTGTCTTAATATTGAACAATTTTAATATATTAGGTAACTTCTATATCATAATGTTCATATATAATTTTACACTCCATAATACATCAACAAAATCTAAAAAATAATGAAAAGATTACAGTATTACACTTGAGTGGATAATATCAAAAGAACAATAAGTATATATATATATATATATATATAGAAACACCAACTCATCATTATCACATGAAACAATAATTCTTTATCATTAAAATAATTGTTGTTGTGTACTAATGGCTTTTCTTGCTGTTATTACCATTGTTCTTGGTGTTTTTTTTTTGCAAGCAAATGCAATAAATAATAGTTTTTATGAATATTATTCCTATCTTTGGGGAAATGATCATTTCTCAGTTGATTCTCAGGGAACTGAGGTCCAACTTAAATTAGACAAGTCTTCAGGTAATTCATATACATAAATAATCTTCTTAATTTTATGCAGAAAAAAAAATTACTATTTACTTATAAGTTAATTAGAAAACCCTTTGCCTTATTTTGAATCATTACAAAAATTCTCGTTTTAATTTATTAGCATAAGCCTCCCGATCTTGTTTTTTTTCTTTCTTCGTCGGGGTTATTTTTCGTTGATCTTTTAGTCACATGAAAAGTCACAGAGGTGCGATTTTTTGCGAATAAAAATATAACACTATTAGTTTTAACAGTTAAGGGTATAAACACAACGATATTGTTTTACTATTTGTTCTTTATGTATTTTAGTGTATTGTTAATGATGCGTATAAACTTAAATTATTGATTTAATTTGTTTGAATGCAGGTGCTGGATTTAGGTCAAAATTGGACTACCAGTTCGGAATGTTCCATATAAGGATGAAGATTCCAGACAAGAAAACCGAAGGAATTGTTACGAGTTTCTACGTACGTAATGGTTCTCTCTCTCTCTCTCTCTCTCTCTCTCTCTCTCTCTCTCTCTCTCTCTCTCTCTCTCTCTCTCTCTCTCTCTATATATATATATATATATATATATATATATATATATATATATATATATATATATATATATCATTGCCGTTACAACGATACAAACATTTGATTATCAAACTAATTTTGAAAACTTGATAATGATTAATTCTATTTTTCATTTGTGATTGGCAGTTAACCGACCTAATGGATTCGATGCACCCTATTGATCATATCGAGCTAAACTATGAGTTTATCGGAACAAACGGAACGATGCGAACCAATATTTACGACAACGACATGGGCCACAGAATACAAGTTTTCAAACTTTGGTTTGATCCAACACAAGATTATCACACCTACGAAATCCTTTGGAACAACTACCAAATACTGTGAGCATTTCATTTCTTTATTTTCTCATCTCATAAAGGAAATTGAATACACATATAATATTAATGAAACGAGAATAATGTTATAAAATAATACCCGACACCCAATTTAATTAATTAACGTATTAATGCAATATATACTAGATGCATGCTATAGAAGATCAAATAAATTCAATTAGTGATCATCTCAACGCAGATTCACACATAATCACACAGATACATGTGGATGATCTGCATAACATGCATTAAATATGAAATATAATATTTAACAAATATTAAATTACGCAGTACACTATTGAAACTATCTAGACCATGTAGATGCTACAAAAGATGAAATAAAACTAGCATAATATAATTACACCAGAAATTTACATATAATTACACACATATATGTGAATGAGCATAACATGTGTAAGGAAATAATATTTTCTTTTTGACCAAAAAAATTAGAAAAATCAAAAAAGTGAAAATTAAATATATGTTATAATATCTTTCAATTTTTTTTTTTAATTTTTTTTTAATTCAACATTTTTTGTAGATATATGGTGGATGGGATTCCGATAAGAGTGTTCAAGAACAACACGGTTGAAGGAGTGGCGTATCTAACGAAGCCGATGCACATTGAAGGGACTATATGGGATGACTCAACCGGGAGTAGTGGATCTGTGAACTGGAGCAATGCTCCGTTCATCGCCCATTTTCAAGATTTCGGATTCTACGCTTGCTCCGGAAAAGGGAATAATTTCTCGCAATGTGCTTCCGAGGGGCGATTATGGAACCAGCCGAGTTACAGACAACTCAGTGATGCTCAGAAACAACAAATGCACTACAAGAAATTTTGGTTTTAGTGACGATATTATGTGATCGCTAAAAGTTAGAAAATGGTCGCTAAAACTTATAACGACCAAATTAGGCTTGGTCACATGTGGTCGCAACAGGGTGGCTACTAAAGGTACTCAGTGACGAGCAAATTAATTGGATGCTAAAAAATGAGATTTAACGACCAACCAATAATGGTCATTAAATACTTAATCATTAGCGACCAGTTTTTGACTCGCTAATGTAAATATTTATGGTCGCAATAATATTAATATGGTTGTTGTAGCAACACATATAGTGACCATATATTTATGGTTACTAAATGATATATATATACAACGACCATATTTGATGGTTGTTATATGATAAAAATTTGGCGACCACGTTTTTTGGTTGCTACATAATATACCTGAAGTGACCGTATTCTTAGGTTGCTAAAATTGTATTTATAGCAAATAAATAATTGGTTGTAATAATTATATTTTTGTCGCAATACCTCCCGAATTTAATATGGATATGTCACCCAACATTAATTAACAATTGCTAAAATAGTTTGAATTGGTTGCTAAATTACATATATTAGTAACAGTAATTTATAAAAATTAAATGAAAATAATTATTAATGTTCATCTGCAATAAAACCCAATCGGTGGCTGCAAACACAACAGAACAAAAATTGCAAAAATAGCATATTATCAATAAAATGTGGATATTCTAATTTCAACATATCGTACTCAATACAATAGTAAATCATTCATTCCAAATAATATGAAAGAACACTATAATTCTTTTATTCTAGAATCCGACTTCATAAATTATTAAGTTGCAACAAATATATGACTTCCACGATAACGTTCTTTCACTTCATCAAACAACCCAACCTGAAAAAAGAATACTCAATTAAAAATAAGAAATCATAGAATCAATTTCAACCATTTGTCACTTAGCACTCGGCAATGCAATAATGTATCTAGATTTTTGTAGAAGTAGTGAATTACCTCATTCGTTCCTTGTGTTTAATGTGATGCACTGTAAATTCATTTGTTCTGCTTCACAACATACTAATCGAGGAAGCTAAAAAATACCTACATTAAAAGAAGTATTACTCGATTAATTTATTTGCCGAAAGGATACATAAAAGAATATATCACAAACATAGAGTATACCGTCGGATAACTCTTCCAAGCTCAATGCCTAATATGATGTTATAACTAATTCCTGCACATCATAGCAGATAATATTTCCTCCTATTAAAGAAGCAAGATATTTCATAAAAAACTAAATACAAAATTTGCGCATACCTGTCCTGGAATAGCTGGACGATTAGCCCTGCTTCATTTGCTCTTTTGTATCCCTAAGCACCAAATGTGCAATCAAAGTACATCATAGCTTCTTTCAGTAACAAAAAGGATCATAATAGTTTCTTTTCGCAACTCTTCACACTTGTCTCATCTCTCGTTTCTTGCTTTCTACTAGACAATAAATTTTTAACAGATCAAATTTGTTCATAAACATAGCTACAAAAAGTAGAGTAGTCTGAAAAATCAATCAACTCTTTATGGCAACAAAAATGATTATCATGAGCATAACTACAGAGTAATCGAATACTTATGCAGGGATACAATATTAAACACAATTTTTTTTAAGTCCAAACATGCTATGAAAACAAAACTAATGAGATAGCATTCAATATAAAATAACCACGATTGTGTATAGAGCATTAAAAGTAAAAGAATCATTTGAAGGTAAGGATCGTCGTTTATGATTTTTCTAGACTGCCTTTGTGTATCTCATGTTAATCGACATGTTCGATTCAATCAGCATATCTAATGAGTGAGGGAGTTTAACACAAAACAAAATTCACCAGATCTTCCTTGTGTAGATTTTATAAACTTTATTCTTCAAAAGGTAGGTAAAAATCTCTACATAATCATAGGAGCCTTTACATATGTACCTAAGCATGACCAGGCCTGAAGGTCGATATCGGAACTCACATGTTTCATAGTGAATCGTAACCCGTAAATATGAAAATATGATTGCATAAATATCAACACACCTTTAGTCCAACACATCTTGCATGGGTTACACAATTGTTTTACTTTTCATATTGAGGGACAAAAATTCCATTAGGTATATATAAAACAATTATAAAAAGAAGGTCAAAATTGTGAGTTAATAGGTTGTGGATGACTGTGTTATCGCAGAACAATAAATCCCAAAACCCAGGACGGTTAAGAATTCCAAACAATTCTTAACTTACTCGGTCCCTAATCAAGCTTTAGTAAGAAAGAATAGAACAAATATTTTCAGATAATCGGAACCCCCAAAACACTGAACAGTAAAAACAGACAAATTTTGATACACAACATCCTCTATCGATTACAATCCCATGAACACAGTAGTTTACTAAATCTGCAATTTTGACTTCACCTTAAACATCAATCGTTAGGTTTTGGCCAATTTCAGTCCAAAACAAAAGAATATATATTCAATCGATTGATAAAATAACTTGAAATGGGGCATAAATAGGAGATTGGGGATTTTATAACCTGAAAAATCACGACGAATTCGTGCTTTAGCGGGCATCACAAAGGGCCGAAGAGAGCGCAAAGGCGACGAGAAGCCACCGCCCGATGTCCATCTTCAAGCAATACGAATTTTTGTGCCCGTCTGGATTTCTGGTGGTTGCAGTTCTACGGCATAAGGGTGAAAGAGGGGTTTTTTTTCTTCTTTTTTTTAATCGATGGTGGGAGGGGGATTTTATTTCCTGTTTGCATAAGAAAAGGGATGATAATTCTATTAAAATAGTATACCATTTTTTTATTAAAGTAATTGACCATTGATTTAAAATTACTATTATTAAAATTTAAACCATGAATATTATTTAAGAGTTTTTCTTATATGATTATGTATTATAATTTAGGTTTCACTTTTTTTCAGCAGTGTACTTCTCTTTTTTAATAAAATAAATTGCAATATTTATATCTCAACAATTTCAATGTTATTTAAAATAAGATATTTTTCATATTGATCTTGTTACTTGAATTCTTTTTAGTGAATTTTGTAAACAAATATTTTAGCAAATTATAATTTTTTTAATTAATCACGAAACCACTGTGAATCAATATAAGTAAATCTGTTTCAGTTTCCTATCATCATATTATTTAATATTTTAAAATTAAATTACTAATCAAATAAATTTGTTTTCCACGCGTAGTTTCCCTAGCAACCATATTAAAGTGGTTGCTTTTAGTATATGATTAGCAACCCAATTAGATGGTTGTTAATAATCATAAAATACTTGTAGCAACTATTGAATATTTTGTTGTTAAATTGGTCACTATTGATATTTATTTATAGTGACTATAAAAAATTGTCGCTACAACTCTATAATGTGGTTGCTACAAGATGATTAACTATTAGTGACCACTTATAGCAACCTAATATTCGTTGGTCGCAAAAAGGTTTAACACAACCGACTTTTGTAACCAAATTATTTTCGGTCACTAAATGTGAATATTTAGTGACCATTTAGTTATGGTCGCTGAGAATTTGGTCATTGAAACTACTTTTTCTTGTAGTGATGGCTGATTACAGAAAGAAGTATCTGACTTATGACTATTGTTGGGATCAGTCTACCAGGAAAAAGGAATGCTCACTCAGTAGTACTGCTTGAAGTTTGAACACACACAATAAACATGTGTTTGTGCGTTTTTTATTATTTGTGAAGAAATAAGACAATTGTTTTTTTTTCCCCTTAAATTGGAATATTTGTTATAAGAGACGCTGCACCAAATCCCCTTAATTGTATTCCATGAATTAAGACTCCAACTATTTTCATAAAATAAAGGGTTTATTAGGGATAACCCCTTTGTTCATATATTCTAATGAGGTAGATCCAATTTTTTTCCCCCTTTTTGAGATAGACCCAATTTTGCCAACTTGGCAAAATATATTATATAATTTTCCTTTAATACCCCTGTTTTATTTTTAAACGGCATTTATTTCCTTTACTACGTGATTTGAGATTTGCTGATACGTTGCCTAAAATCACAGAATAAAATTACGTGAGATCATTGGCCATTATATCAAATCGTGTACAATATTTTTCGAAGGTTCTCTTCAGCGTTCCAGCGGTTTTTTATCGTCTTTGAAGATTTCTGCACCGTCGTTGAAATAGGATCGAATTTGAGCGTTCGTTGTTGGACGTTGTTAACCAGGTTTGAATGCGTTATTCGTTTTTATTTTTCGCTCAATGTCTAGGATTGTCGATTACGGTGGTTAGAAATTTTTAAGAGTTGTGTTGATACTTGATTCTATTAAGTAGAACGTTTTTTAACAAAATTATTCCGTCATATATACATCGTTATTTTTGGCGGATGATGTTTGTTTGGAAGATGATTGACAGAGTTAGATGAGGATGGTTCACGCATATCGGACAAGAGTTGTTTTATATGAACATCGTAGTTGGTTTACGCATTAATTGAAATAACTATCCGCTGTCGTGGAGTTCATGAGTCTGATCCCGGTCGATAGTTAGTTTATTTGTTTATAACAGCGGATTTTAGGACGCTGGGTAGTACATTAAAATATATTTCGTAGTATTTTTTAAGTTATCGTATGAATTTTGCATTTTAAGTTTATTTTTTATCATATTAATATATTTTTTAATATTCTGCATTTTTAATGTAGTATCATATTAATATATACATCATTATTTTTGGCGGATGATGTTTGTTTGGAAGAGGATTGACAGAGTTAGAAGAGGATGGTTCACGCAGATCGGACCAGAGTTGTTTTATATAAGCTTCGTAGTTGGTTTATGCAATAATCGGAATAATTGTCCGCTGTGGTCGAGTTCATGTTTTTGATCCCGATCGATAGTTGGTTTATTTGTTTATAACAGCCGATTTAAGTGTGCTGGGTAGTACATTAAAATATAGTTCGTAGTCTTTTTTAAATTAGCGTATGGATTTTGCATTTTAAGTTTATTTTTGATGATATTAATGTATTGTCATTCAAATGTATTTGCAGTCTATTTAATAATTTTTTAGTATTCTGCATTTTTTATTTTGTTTCATGATTTTAGGTTTTTTCGATGGCGAATTTCGTACGGATTTTGTTGAGGTTTGGTGGGTTGGTTGCTATAAAGACGTGTTTACGATGTAATGGCTCGGTAACTTCGGTTAAGTTTTAAACCGTTGTAATACAGTAGTATACTATTATGAATACCGTATGATACTACCATTATCATTTTATTATACTATTATGAGATTATTAATGTACTAGAGTTTTAACTCGACATATTGGTTTGATTATGTTATGATGTGTTTTATGTATTTTATCAAAACCCTAGATTGAAATTATGAGATTATTAATGTACTATTTTATTGGTTATGTTGGAATACTTTACGTTGGTGTTGTTCTCAATGTTCTTGTCATTTCAGTGGTATATTGTTTGTAACACAATTCATATCACTACTATAACCGTAATATACTATCATAGCAGATCAATGTACTATATTGAAATTATTAATATACTATGTGGTTGAATAATACGGGATCCATAGTCGATTAACGAGATCCGTAGTCGAATTAGATCAATAAGATAGTCTATTACATGATATAAGGAAAATTACCATAATTGATTAGTATTTCAAACAAACATATTATTCAGTTTCCATATATATTATTATTTTTCATATATATTATTATATACCTTAATCGTTTTCATATAATAAGGAAAATTACCCTAATTGATTAGTGTTTCAAACAAACATATTATTCAGTTTCTATATATATTATTATTTTCCCAATAGTCAATTAACTAAACTCATAGTCGAATTAGATACATGGGATAGTCTATTAAAAGATATGAGATAGTCTATTAATTTTCAAACACAAATCCGCCGCCGTTACTTCTCAAATCTAGGGTTTTGATGATTCTTCGGCCCATAGTCGATTAACGAGATCCATAGTAAAATTATACCAGTGGGATAGTCTATTAAATGATATAGGATAGTATATTAATACAGATGTAATTCGACTATGCATCTCGTTAATCAACTATGGGCCGAAGAATTATCAAAAACCTAGATTTGAGTAATCCTAAATTGGAGCAGTGACGGCGACGGCGACGGCGACGGCGGCGGCCAACGACGATATCACTTATGGTGGATGTCCTGCCTATCAATTGTTGCAATATCACTGATTTAGTGCTCGAATTCGGTATGCGATTATAACAGATCTGCAATTACACAAACGTGATAGTCGATTTAGCCAAAACATATCAACAAATCGATGGATGATAGCGATTCAGCGAGTGGCGACGACGTACCTACGACAGCTTGCTCGGAGTGCACGAAAATCGTCGTTTCACGGCAGTGCAGACGTCTTCCCCTTTCAATCGGCCGTACCGGGAAGTTGTTCTGGGAGGTTTTGCAGTTTATTCGATAATGGGTTTGGGATGATAGTGATTTAACGGGAAAATAGGAAGGGATTTGATTTTATTTCAAAAGGTAAATTAACGGGTTTTGTGGGATTTGATTGAGGGTAATTATGTAATTATGAAAAGTTTGGCAAATATAAATTTGGGTCTACCCCTATTATTTGAATGTTTAAGGGGGTTATATCTAATAGACCCTAAAATAAATTGAATACATATTAATTCAATTACAGTATAAAAAAAAATTATAGTACAAGTGAAAGTTATAACATATTTTCAGATAATTTATATTCTTTTTACATATTAATGCATCCAAGATTATTATAATCAATCAATACTTCCTCCGTTCCATAATAATATCTGTCACTTTTGATAATTTTTTTGTTCCATATTATCTGTCACTTTAAATTTTCAACACTTCATTAATTAGTAATTACTTAATTTCCAGTTTATACCCTTATAACTCTTTCCAACACACCTTTTTTTTTAACTAATTTATCTCTGTTATTAATTACAAGACAAGGTCATTTTAGTCTAAATGCATAAAATTTCCTAAATCAAGATACATTTAATAAAATTCTTAATCTTTGTGCAAAGCTAAAAAACGACGATGAAAACGGAACGGAGGGAGTATTTTTTTGTCACAAAATTCGGAGTTGAGAATGTCTTAATTATAAGTTTGATCAGTTGACAAGTTCGTGTTCTCTGACCGTTCACGCACATCCCGAGATTAAAATCTTGCACCATTCCTAATCGATGGATGCAAACACCAAAGTTAGGCACTCTGTATTAGTATTAAATGTCGATTCTAAAACTGTAGCCCAAATTTGAGAAATTATCGTTGTATATATGGTAGATTTTAACCGTAGATCTATATATATCACACACACATACATGCACATGTGTGTGCATGTTGGGTTAAATACCTAACACGCAAGTGCATATATCGCAAACAAGTAGTAATAGTGGACTCGTGAGAGTCGGATGTCGAACCCACAAGGAATACTCAAATTATCTAATCCTAAGTACCAAATTCTACCAATTATGATTATTATCCAGCATGGGCAAGGTTGTCAAATTTAATCAACTAAATAATTAAACTAATTATGAAAGGAATAACACAAGATAATATCAATAAAAACGGATCTAGGATTTTATCTTCCCCCTATGTGATAATTCATCACCCAATTAAACCTCTATCATGCAAGTTATGATTCCTAATTATTAACCCGAGTCACGAAATTACTCATAACCCGTTGTCGCGTGTATTATGAGTCTATTATTCATAAACGGTTCACTATATGTCAATGCAAACCAATTATGAATAAAACATTAACTAACATGTCTCGCAAACGGCTACCTAAGGTGATATATGTATGTCTACGACACCACATGCAATTGACACACTCATCCGGTGAAAACTACTCGAAGGCTCTTCTATCCATGTTCTAATTATTAAAACGATCTGTCGATTCAATTCTAACAATAACACATAGCAACATAAATTAGCTAGGTTCATGCGCTAAATAAGATCAAATAGAAGAAATAATCATGGAATTTAAACTTGCATAATATTAGAAAAATAGGTTTGAATCACCACATATGGTTCCAACAAAATCCTAGATTAAAAGGTTTAGCTACTCATATTCTCTACGAAAAACATCATAACAATATAAAAGACATAGATTCAGAAAAGATAGATAAAAGAAGAATTATAATGAATATTCGTCAGGTCTTCGTCTTCGATTCTCCGTTCTCTTGCTCCTCTTGCTCTAATATTGTGTAAAAAGTGTTTCAATTCGTGCTTGGTCTTTGCCCTTAAATAGATGTCCCAACTTGGTAGAAGATTAAGGTTTCCTTGTGTGATTATAAGTCCAAAATTGCTTCTAGCGTGTTTTCACACGGCCGCGCGAGAATCAGTACAATTCTCACACAGCCGTTTCAAATCCCGAAGCTTTCTGCCCAAATTCTGCAGTTGGCACGGCCGTGCCAAAAATAGGCTAATTTCACACGACCGTGTCGCTTCCGATTATTTTCTTCCATTTTTGACCTTTTTTCGCTCGTTTCATCCTTGAAACGCCCGAATCTTCAAATTGTACCTACAATACAACTAATCAAGAATTAAGCACCATAAAATCAATAAAAATATACAAAAATCCTCGTAAGAAGTTATATATTGAGTGTAAAATATACACTCAACACACCTCCAAACTTGAACCTTTGTTTGTCCTCAAGCAAAAACTAGCAACTTTCAAGACAACATATTCAACAAATGCCCTTCATCACATAGATTAATGGTCAACTTCACGTTTTCAGAACTTGCAACTATCATGACAACTCTCAAAATTTTGCAAGCTCGCAATTCAAAGATACATATGCACTTACCATTGCTAAAAACCACAAACCATGCTATCGCTTCAAGTATCCCATATTTGTAAATTAAAAATGGAGAAATTTTTTACTTACATAATAATGTTCGACTCCAAGGACCCACCAAATTTCTTTACTCGGTGATAAGTGTTTGTTTTGGACTATTTTTGCTTATATCTTCGAGTTTTGGTCTTCGTTCGTCCGAGTTTCGGCTTTATTTGTATATATTATTGCGTTTCTTGTTTTATTTCTTTTTCTAGGTTTTATTAGGTATTTTTGCCGAGTCGAAGCCATTTGAAAGCGAAACCGAATTTTCAAGCCAATTTTGGGGCCAAGAAGACCCAGATCGCGATCTGACATCTCTGGATCGCGATCTGGGGGTTGTCATAGAACGAAAACAGATCAAGACCCAGATCGCGATCTGACATTCCGTATCGCGATCTGGGGGTGTTCACAGTGCTGATTTGCCGAAGATCCAGATCGCGATCCAGCAATCCGTATCGCGATCTGGGGGGTCTCACAGTGCTGAAATGTTGATGACCCAGATCGCGATACACATTTCTGGATCGCGATCTGGCATGCGGTGGGCAGTTCCTCGAGGCTGCCAGATCGCGATCCAAACAACCTAGATCGCGATTTGGGTACGCCTTTTGAGAAAGATATTTTTGTTGCAAAGCTTCTTGAGGAAGCTTTGCATTTCACTATAAATAGAAAGGCCCTTTCATTCTTCATTTCTTCTTCGAATTTTTACGGTTTTCGACAGTTCTTCGCGGGAATCATCAACGGGGGTTTCGACTTTGGTTTTTCTTACGCAATTTCTTTACGTTTTGTTCTTCATTTCTTGTGTACATTCTTTTGACATTATGTTTGTTATGAACTAAGAACATTTTCTTCTAGGGTAATGAAACCTTGTATATATTGATTTCGATCTTCATTTCTGTTATCTATTTGTCGTGTTTCGATTTCGATTATGTTTTCATGTATTAATTGCTTCTGGTTGTTTGATCAGCTCTCGGATTGATATTAAATAGGAGTGAACTCGAGAGAGGATTTATGGTTTGAAGTTAGGAAAACATAGCTCGGAGTGTGGAAACGGAGACGTGATGCACTTCGGGTAGCCTTTAAGGACTTGACATAAATGCTCTCTTAATAGTAGGTTCTGAACGGAGACGTCGGACCTGTGGGTAGACTCTAACTACACTGGAGACGGGTGTTAGAGTACATTAGCGTCTGGGTTAACGTATAGGAATGTGATTTTAGATAACGGATTTGTAGATCATTGTTGATTATACATAGGTGGATTTGGCCCTAGAAGTCCATTTTAAACCGAAGCCCTCCCGTGTTGAGTTGTCGCTATTTTATTTACATACATTCTATATTTGCATGTTTACGATCTTGCATGCTTATAAATTAGGGTTTATCACCATTCCAAATATTTACGATCGGCGAGATAATATAACGATAATATAATTACACTACTCAGCATGTGAATCTACAAGGTCATGTGGATCGATATCCGGAACCACTGTTCTGCAAAATGCGATACTGTATACTTGCGGTAATTTATACGTGAGGAAAACGCGTGTCAAGTTTTTGGCGCCGTTGTCGGGGACCAATTTGATTTTATCTTTTTTGGTAGTGTTACCAATTATCTGATTATTAATTTAGCTATGTACCTGTTTTATTTTCGATTTTTACCTTGATTTTAACCGATCACTTTGTTTATGCCCAGGCGTCAAAATTTGGAAATCATACCTTACGATCCCGAGATTGAAAGGACATTTCGAAGACAAAGGGACACGCGCAAACAACAAAGTGAATCAATGGCCGACGATCAATGAAATCCAGAACACCTGACCTTTGAGTACAATCGAGAGCCAAGACGAGATGACGAGCAGCCAAGACCGAACCTGCCACCCGAGCGAACAATGCGAGAATACCGAACTCCAGCTGTGAATGAGAACTATTCGGGAATCAGGAAACCGACGATAGCCGCAAACAACTTCAAGCTAAAGACGGGCTAATCAATATGGTCATGGCGAACCAATTCTCCGGAGCAGCCACTGCAGATCCAAATCTCCATCTTGCCAATTTCTTGGAGATTTGTGACACAATCAAAGTTAACGGTGTTTCTGATGATGCCATTCGGTTGAAGCTATTCTCATTTTCTGTCAGAGACAAAGCGAAGAGTTGGCTTCTGAGTCTTAATCCAAGATCACTCACCTGTTGGGAAGAATTATCACAAACCTTTCTGGCACGATTCTTTCCACCCTCAAAGACCGCACAACTACGAAGAGATGTAGGCAACTTCAGACAGATGAGCCAAGAGCCTATGCATGAGTCTTGGGAGAAGTTCAAGGACTTATTACGACAATGCCCTCAACACGGATTCAACCCGTGGGATCAAATGGAGTTGTTCTACAATGGGCTCGATCAACCAGCCCGATCTCTAGTCGATGCTTCCTTAGGTGGATCATTCCAATACAAGACTCCCACAGACGCTCGGGACATTGTCGAGCGAATGTGTGAGAATGCTTACCATTGGCCGTCCGAACGAACTGGTATACAAAAGGTGGCCGGAGTCCACCAACTCGATCCTTTAGCCTCGGTTTCAGCACAGTTAGCGACCCTATCAAATCAAGTCGCCCAATTATCAGTTCGAGGGCCACAGACCGAACGAGTTGCAGCAACAAGTACCTCGGAAGCCACAAACAACGATTGGGAGCATGCACACTTTATGAACCACCGATTCAACAATTTCCGGGGAAACAACAATCAGAACCAAAACCCTACTCAGTACTACCCGGGAATTCGGAATCACGAGAACTTCTCCTACGCCAATCCAAAGAACGCTCTCCAACCACCTTCCGATTTTAACCATCAAAGAGAGCAACGAGGGCCGACGTATGACGAGCGTCTTCACCGACAAGAATAGGAAATGGAGGGCCTGAAATCAACAATGAAGAACATGGAAAATAAAATAGGGCAAATCGCCCAATCCATGTCCACGATGGCCAAGGGTGGATTTCCGAGCAATACCGAAGTCAATCCAAAAGAAAGCTGTCAAGCCATAACCACCCAAAGTGGTTTGCAAATGACCAATCCTCCTTATCCGACATACGAGTCACCAAGGCCAGTTGTACAACCGACCCCGGTCGAGCCGGAAATCACCATTTCAGGGAGTAGTACAAAAGAGGCTAGTAAGCCCAATAACATTTCTTTTCCTGATAATCCTCCTCTTATGATAACTCCTATTCCATATCCAGAAAGACAGAAGAAAAAGAAGTTCAAGGATCAATTGAAGAAGTTCATGGAAAAGATCAAACAAATTCGAATCAACATCCCTTTTGCAGAAGTCTTGGAGGTAAGGCCAAACTACACCAAATTCATGAAGGAAGTCCTATCCAAGAAAATTCGGATCGAAGAAGACATACCTGTGACACTCACGTCATCTTGCAGTGCCATTCTTCAGTCGAATCTACCACCGAAAATGAAAGATCCAGGGAGTTACATTATTCCTTGTATTATTGGAAATTCTACTTTCGATAAAGCTTTATGTGATTTGGGGGCAAGTACTAATTTGATGCCTATGTCTGTGTTTCTAAAATTGGGCTTAGGAAATTTGAACCGCACTCGCATGACTTTATGTCTGTGTTTGTAAGATTTGAAATTATGCCTATGTCTGTGTTTCTCAGATTCATCATGCTCAAGTGTCTTCCTAATATCTATTTCTCTCATGTCGACATTGTTTTCTGGACATACAAGATTTTTCTCACCGCAGGCTTTACCCGAATTTTCTTTGATATAACCATTGTCAATTTCCCCCTTGAATATTTTCAAGAGACTCAGATTTTAATTTGAGAGTCATCTCTTCCAATTGTATCTCCATGTTTCGAAATAATGCTTGAGTGGACTTCATGAATTCGGCAATGAGGGATTTCAAATCAAGCTGTTCGTTAGTGGTCTGCTACTGCATTGGATAATAATTTTGAAAATCATCAAATTGTGGCTCTCTATGTTGAAACTCGTTCTAATCTTGGTCCTGAAAGCTTTGCTCGTATGTGTTGGTGTAAGTGTTCCAATAACCTCTGTTGGTAATTTTGATGAAATTTGTCACTTTTGGTGATCCCAACATTGATCGGAAAAATGATTTCCTCCACATGCTGAACAAAAGAGGGGCATATCATTGGTGTTTTGGAGGTATTCGTCAGATGGAAGCCATTTATATCCCGTTTAAGGTGCCCGAACATTGTAACCAGACATGTAACAAAAAAAAAATCAAAATTAAAAATAAATAAAAGATAAAAATTAAATGGCTGAAGTAAGAAAAATTGTTAAAATTTGGTATTAGAATAAATAGATAATTTAGCCGTATTCCCCGGCAACAGCGCCAAAAACTTGTTGGGCTAAATACCTAACACGCAAGTGCACGTATCACAAACAAGTTGTAGTAGTGGACTCGTGAGAGTCGGATGTCGATCCCACATGGAATACTCAAATTATCTAATGCTATGTACCAAACTCAAACAATTATGATTATCATCCAGCCTGCTCAAGGTTGTCAAATTTAATCAACTAAATAATTAAACTAATTATAAAAGAAAATAAACACAAGATAATATCAATAAAAACGGATCTAGGATTTTATCTTTCCCCTATGTGATAATTCATCACCCAACTAAACCTCTATCATGCAAGAGACGATTCCTAATTATTAACCCGAGACACGAAATTAGTCATAACCCACTGTCGCGTATATTATGAGTCTATTATTCATAAACGGTTCACTATATGTCTATGCAAACCAATTATGAATAAAACATTAACTAACAAGTCTCGCAAACGGCTACCTAAGGTGATATTTGTATGTCTACGACACCACATGCAATTGACACACTCATCCGGTGAAAACTACTCGAATTCTCTTCTATCCCTGTTATAATTATTAAAACGACATGTTGATTCAATTCTAACAATAACACATGGCAACATAAATTGGCTAGGTTTATGCGCTAAATAAGATCAAATAGAAGAAATAATCATGGAATTTAAACTTGCACAATATTAGAAAAATAGGTTTGAATCACCACATATGGTTCCAACAAAATCCTAGATTAAAAGGTTTAGCTACTCATGTTCTCTTCGAAAAACATCATAAAAAATATAGAAAGATACAGATTCAGCTTCCGATTGTTTTCATCATAAAAAATGGGTCTTTCTAGTGTGAGACCATCTGTGTTCTAAACTTATATGAGATATGCATTAATCACCATTAATTTTTTAAGATTAAATCTGAACCCTTGAAAAATAACATGGCTTATGTTCTAAAAAATGAACTAGTTTACCAAATTATCCTTCGATTATTTTTTTTATTAAATTAATATAAAGTAGATTAACATTGAATTGTCTAATTTACCCCCTACTATATTTTAATTAAATAATTAATTTAAATTCATTGTGACTGAGTTTTATTTGATTAATAATCGAAAAAAATGCATTCATTAGGGATAGAACTTGCGACGTCTCAATACATTCATCACTCCTAACCATCCAAGCACATTAACTTATTATGATGTATTTAAACATAATTGTATATATCGGTAAAACACAATATAAAATGATAATAAATGTAAGTATTTAAATACTGTTAAATAAAATATTAATTGCGACATTCATTATTATTAAATGATATTAAATAAATTATTAACAAATTTAATATAATAAAGTTTGAAAAATATATAAAGAATTGCAGTTCAATACGCCAAACATCTATCATTAATTATATAATATTAGAAATATTAATAAACTCCACCATTTAAAAATGTAAGAAATGCTCAATTAAATAAAAAAAATTGCATAACTTAATCCAAACTCACTTATGTTATTAAATCGATAGTGTGACAAATCCAAATAAAAATAAAAATAAAATAGTTATTTAGAAGAAGAAAAATTATAACTCATTCCAATTAGTAGTTTTCTTACTTTAAAATAAAATTATATACTACAAATACTATATTGTGAATTTTTTTTAACATTTAATTTAATCAAATAGTAAGATTCGAATTGATTAAGCTCAAATCCTTTCAATTAGTAAACATTATTCAAATATTTGAATCGATTGCTTAACTATTGACATATCGTGTTACATAATTGATTTAACTATTTATAAGTAATGTCTAATATCTTTTTAATTCAATTTTGTCATAAAAAAATAATAAATTTAATTCCTAACACATGTAAGAACCTAATGGTAAATCATAATATTTTATCAAAGCGTAATATTTGAACCAATTAAGCTCAAGTTCTTTCAATTCGTAAACATTATTGAAATATTTGATTAAGCACGCTCAACTATTGACAAGAACGTCTTAATCAAATTAACTATTATTAATTAAAGTGTAATACATTTTTAATTCAATTTTATCATAAAAAAATAATTCATAAATTACGTGAGAATCAAATCATAAGATTAATTAAAGCGTATGATTTGAATCAATTTAATGCAAGTTCTTTTAATTTGTAAATATTATTCAAAAAATTGAATCGATTGAGTTCAACCACTGACAAGAACGTATTAATCGAGTTAACTATTTATAATTAAAGTCTACTATCCTTTTAATTCAATTTTAACAAAAACATAATAATTTAATTCGTAAAATCGTAAGATTGATTGTAACCATGAACCAATTAAATCTTACGACTTTTACGAATTAAATTTTATTATTTTTTATGATAAAATTCAATAAAAAAGATACTAAACTTTAACTATACATAGTTTGATTAATAGTTTAATACGTTATTGTAAAATTATTGAGTTTAACCGATTCAAATATTTGAATATTGTCTACGAATTGAAATGAGTTGAGCTTAATCGATCAAATCTTTGAATATTGTTTTTGAATTGAAAACACATGAGTTTAATTGATTCAAATATTACGATTTAATTAAATCTTACAATTTACGATTCAATTCAAACTTCAAATTCTTTCAAAATTCATTTTTAAATTACACGAGTTGATCAACATTTCCTTAGATTTTTAAATTATATTATATAAAGATTTGTTAATATGGGATATTTTTAATATATAATAATAATTATATGAGAATTAATAATTATTTAACATTATTTATATAAGTTTTATAATCATTATACATTGTAGCTTTGTGATATATATTCCTATTGTTAGTTTATTCTCAATTACGTGTTGTGTCTTAATTGGTCACAAGTTCGAATTCTGGTTGATGCAATTTTGGATGGATGGTTTAATGATTTTACAAATAATGATATATTTGACTTTATAAATTTTAATTCAGCAATAAATATTGATTTAAAATTGCATTAAAATAAAGAGGGTAAAATTGACATTTCATTAGTAATTTATAATTGCTGATTTTTTTTAAAATAATAATTAGTATCTCATATAAGTCCTGTTCTTGGGATCTCACGGTAGAAAGACCCTTCAAAAATAGTTTTAGAGTTCTGAAATACGAATGCTAATTTAATATAATAAGGAATCAAATTTTGTATTTTTTACTATATTTGTTGACTTAAATAATTTCTGAAAAATTCTGGTAATTATTGTAGAATATCTATCATGTTACTTATTATAACGTAATTGTTTCAACATTTGTGTAATATATAAATCTCAAAGGATTATATAAAAAAATTGTCAAGTTGACTCATATTAATTACAAGAATATACCATTTAATTAGGTATGTATGTGCTATATAATATAAGAATGTCACACACCACACTCCTCTAAATAAAACAACATCGATCCTTACTAATTAATAATTGTTATATTATTAATTAGTAAGTAGTCATTAGATTGCATTTAAAAAAAGTAATTAAAATGGTAATTACAAGAATAAAATTCATTTGTGGTACTATATAAGAATATCACAACATATAGAATCAATCACTCATCTACACTAGAAATAATGGCTTTTAACATGATTTTAGCCATTCTTCTTTGTGCTTTTTGTTTGCAAGCAAATGCAGCGTTAGATAATAGTTTTGATGCATATTATTCCTATCTCTGGGGAGGCGATCACTTCTCGATTAATCCTCAACGAACTGAGGTCCAACTTAAATTTGATAACTCCTCCGGTGAGTATATTACATTTTTTTAAAATTGGTACACATATTGAATTTTTTAGGATGATCATTTTATAGATATATAAATATATATAGGGCAAATTGCATGTCACCCCTTATATATATATATTTTTTTTTTATTATTTTCACACTTTACCCCCTAAAAGTTAAAAAAAAATAAAAAAATTGAATCCCCCCTTCAAAATATTACAGTTGTTGGACATTGCCCTGATAGCAAAATTCCGATTAATTATTAACCGGAGTGTTTTTCTTGCACATTGTCCACGTAAATATTATTTTTGTTGCACGTTGCCCCTTCGAAACATTAATTTACTACACGCTGCCCCTTTAAAATGTTATTTTTATTGCACGGTGCCTATACAAAATTTGCTTTTGTGGCAAAGTGCAATCAAAACAATATTTCGAGGGAATTATCTTTTTTTTCTGAATTTTTAGGTGGGAAAGTGTGACAATGAAAAAATTATAGGGGTTGAAGTGCATTATATTTAATTTTATTTATATAATATAATGTTTATTTTATAAAGAGGCTCCAAAATACGTGTGACCCATTGGCTCTCATGCTAATTATATATTACTTATGGTTTGAAATATTTTTGTATATAGGTGCTGGATTTAGTTCCAAATCAAATTACGGCTCCGGTTTATTCCATGTCAAGATGAAGATACCAAGGAATAAATCAGGAGGAATCGTGCCAAACTTCTATGTAATATATATATTTATTATTTTATCGATCATAAAAACGATTCAGTTACGAAAATTATATAAATTTAATTGTGCATATTTAATTTGTAACTTGTAGTTAATGGGACTCCCGGTTGGTGGGGATGCAAGCAAACCTCATTTCGAAATTGATTTTGAGTTTTTGGGATCGACCGGAAGATTGCAAACCAATATTTTTAACAATGATACTGGAAGCAGAGAACAAAAGTTTAAGCTTTGGTTCGACCCATCGGCAGATTATCACACTTACGAAATTCTTTGGAACCCTTCACAGATAGTGTAAGAATTTAAAATACTCTCAATTTCGAGACTTTTTTGTATTCGTTCAAATTAATTTTCTAAAATATTTTCAAATTATCAAATGTTTCTCTATTATAACAAACATGATTTGACTAATATAGTAAAAAATGTATTCGCTAGAATACAAAATAAAAAATCACTTTTGCTTTCAAATTCTTCTTAAAAATACTTTTTCCCAACACCTTTCAGACATGATTTGACCGACTACAGTACACACTGTCTCTTATCAAAATATAAACTAACTTTATTTTATTTTCAAATTCTTATCCCAAAACATCTTTCTCCAAAATAAAATGAAAAATGATGCCAAAAAACTTAACAAACATAGCATAGTTAAATTTATATAATTTATTTTCCTTGCATTTTCATCTAAGTTAGTTATATATGAATTTGCACATTTAAATCCAAATATTTCGAATGAAAAGGTGAAAAGGCGATTTTAATGTAGGCATGGTAATCGGTGTGACAATGTCGAGTTTTACATTTAAAAAAAAACTTAGTCTGGATAATATATGTTATGAGACAAATAATTGATTTAAGTCTTTTTTCTTGTTTTATTTGTTATGTTTTTACTGTTTATCACTCTCTATTTGTGTTTTTTAGAATAATTATTTCGGAAGAGTTGATTACTATTGGTTGAGAATCGAGAGAGCTATTTTCGTTTAACTTCAATTCTTATGTCTAGGCAAAGTTGACTCATAATACTTTGGATTTTAAATGTGCAGGTTTCTTGTTGATAATATCCCTATAAGAGTGTTCAAAAATAATATTCCAGGAGTGACTTATCCCAATCAACCGATGCACGTAGAAGCAAGTATATGGAACGCACAGTTTGCTGGAAAAGTGGATTGGAGTAAAGCCCCTTTCTATACTTACTATACGGATTTTGGATTTTACGCTTGCCCCGGGGACAATATGGCAGCATGTGCTTCTGATAAACTATTTTGGAATAAATACAAGGAACTCAATAACGCACAGAAAAACCAGATGGCGCATTACAGAAAAAGGTATATGGATTATGATTATTGTGCACAACCGGCTAAAAGGAAACCGGAGTGTGCTTACAATAATGTTTGATGATATGAACATTTTGTGTGCTTTATTATGAAGAGAGAATGTCTTGACAAAATTATGAAGTAATAATAAATGAATTTCTTTTAGGTACTATTAATTGTTTGATTATTTTCTTATATGTTCGACCTTCTTAGAGCAATTCCAATAAAGAAATTAAATGGAGTATCCAATGACAAAATTATCATTTTGATACTTTAAAACACAAAAATGCCCCTCCAATTAGACACGGCCATGGCCGGTTTTGGGCCCGGAACCGGTCCGTTGACGACTCGGCCCAACCCGTTGACCGGTGAACCGGCCCGTCGTCCCCGGGATGGGCCCGGTTCTATGAAATGGTGAACCGTGAACCGCCGGGTCGGCATGGCGGTTCACCCGAATTTAAAAATAAAAAAATAAAAAAATAAAAAAATAAAAAAATTCAAAAAAAAAAGCAAATAACGGCTAGTGAACCGGCCCAAACCGGCCCGGGTGAACCGGCCGTTATTTGTTTTTTTTTGAATTCGCCCCCCCCCCCCCCCCCCAATTTTTCCTATGAATACCCTCACACCCCAATTTTTCCTATAATTTACTTATTCATCAAATATTTCAAAAAAAAAAAAAAAAAAAAACTTTCAAAATTTTCGGGCCGACCCGGAACCGGCCCGAACCGGCGGGCCAACCCGGCCCGTCGAACCGTGCATACTACGGGCCGGTTCCGGTTACGGAAAAAATGAACCGTGAACCGGTAAGAACCGGCCCGGAACCGGCCCGTGGCCGTGTCTACCTCCAATGGAGATGTTAAATTAGTAGTCTTTTTTTTTTATACTTCATCTCATGAACTTGAAAAAATGCAACCCAAAAAGAAAAGAATCAAATATTCCTAAAAATTAAGAACCACAATTCAACATGACAAAAATTAAAATCTCAACAATTTCCTACAGAAATTAGGAAATTTAGGTTTAAAACAACTTTTCGGACCACTATCATGTTTGTGTTCGAGACCAACTCTATTTGCAGCGAACGATTCAAGGATGAATACTAACCAGCTTCGCATGTGAACTATGTTGGATACAACCTGACGTTGTTTAGGCCCTCACAACATCAATTTAACCGTTGTGGGAAGTTTTAGAAAGTGAATATCTTTTTATCGAAAATTTTGAGTAGCACTTCTGCAAATTGCTTAATTTTGAGTTCAAGTGGGATTAGTGTAACTTTGTGTTTTCCATTTTTTTTTTCTTCTTATATTCATGTTTACATGTGTTGTTAGTGTGTTTGTACGGAATTTATATGTTTGTATGCACGTGTAGTGTGTTCATGCATGTGTGTATGAATTTGTATTTTGCGTGTTTATGTGTTTGCAGTTTCTATATGTGCATGTGTTTATGTTAATGAAAATAATAAAAATTGAAAATATATTCGGGTTTTAATATGAATGGGTATTAGATTTGACATATATAATAAGTAATCAAATTGCTAAGATTATTTGTTTTCTTAATTTATGCAAAATTCTGGTAATAACTGGAGAACTTGCATCATTTTGATTATTACATTATCATTATCATTTACATTGTTGTTTTATTACAGGTATTTATTAAATCTCACAAGATTGTATCCACAAAATAGTAAAGTGGGATAATAATTACAAGAATACAACATTTATTTGCGGTATTCAAATGCTATATAATAATATCACAAACTCACAACATACATAGAAAATCACTCATCGAAATCAAACTTGAAATAATGCAATTCATAATTATTTTCACCATTTTTCTTGGTGCTTTTTGTTTGCAAGCAAATGCAGCACCAAATAATAGTTTTGATGCATACTATTCATATCTTTGGGGAGGCGATCATTTTTCGATAAATTCCGAAAGAACTGAGGTCCAACTTAAATTTGATAATTTCTCAGGTAAATGTATATAGGGTTGACCCTAGACATAAAGTGCTATAATCAAAATTTAAATAAGGATGTATTATTTTTTTCAACAAATTTGAAATTTCAATACCATATTTTTAGTTTACATATATATACTTATATTATTTACATGTTTTGTACGTAGGTGCTGGATTTAATTCTAAATCAAATTACGGATCCGGATTATTCCATATCAAGATGAAGATACCAACTAACAAATCAGGAGGAATTGTTCCAAACTTCTACGTAATATATTTTAATTTTGTGCTATTTTTATCATAAAAATAATTTTTCAACTTGTGTATATATATATTTAATTGTGCTTATTTGTAATTACTTGTAGTTAATGGGACTTCCGGTTGGTGGGGATGCAAGCAAACCCCATTTTGAAATTGATTTTGAGTTTATGGGATCAACTGGAAGATTGCAAACCAATGTTTATAATAACGATACTGGAGGTAGAGAACAGAGATTTCAGCTTTGGTTTGATCCATCGGCAGATTATCACACTTACGAAATTCTTTGGAACCCTTCCAATATACAGTAAGACGATGTCATATTTTTTTAATTTTATTCAGATAAACAAATCGACTCGTGTTAAAAATAGAGAACTAGGGGCGATACTTGATTTGATGTTTGAACCCCGACCCCAATCATTCTGTTGTGGTAAATGTTAGGTACCAACTCTCCTAGTGAAGATTCGTTATATGGTTAAAAGCATTACGGTATCACAAATATATAACATTGTACATGCGTATGATATTATTTAAAACTTATGAGATTATTCATAACCCTTTTGAGACAAATAATTATTTAAGTTTATTTGAAGATTCTTGATCAAATAACCATATTAACCAAGAACTGATCGTAAAATTGATATATTTATCGATTTTAAAAATTGCATTGAAAATTGTCCCTATTTAATTTTATATTTCATTCCTCTATTTTTATCATGTTTTTCTGTTTAATTTCTATATTTTATTTTTCACTCAATTTTTGTAATGTTTGGAAGGAACAAAATACCTTTGATATGAGGAGAAACTTTTTATACGATTTATTTTTAATTAATTTTATTTCTTATATTATTTAAATTTAATTAATAATCATATATATATTTCATTTCTTATATATATGTTTGGGGGAAAATAGAAGATACATAATCATTGGATTACAATTGTATAGGTTTCTTGTGGATGATATTCCTATAAGAGTGTTCAAGAACAACATTCCGGGAGTGACGTATCCCAATGTACCTATGCACGTCGAAGCAAGCATATGGAACGCACAGTTTGCTGGAAGTGTGGATTGGAGTAAATCCCCTTTCTTCACCTACTATACGGATTTCGGATTCTACGGTTGCCCTATACAGGGCGACGATATTGCAGTATGTGCTTCTGATAACTATTTTTGGAACAAATACAAGGAACTCAATACTGCACAAAAAGAAAAGATGGCGTTGTACCGAAAAAAATATATGACTTATGACTATTGTGCGCAACCGGCTAAAACCAAGACGGAATGCGCATACAATAATGTTTGATTTATAATTTGCCTCACTTGAATAAAAATTGTCTAACATAGTCTCACCACACACGTGTGTATGAGATGTTATACTTCAAATAAATAAGATGTGAATTAAATTATTATTATTATTAATTTTGTTCTCTTATGGTGCGGCAATGTTTAAATAGAATATAATTTACGATGATATGAATATTTTCAACCTATTGAGTTAGTTATCTTATGTTAAGGGACTTGATATGTTCAGGACTATATAAAAAACTTACGATTTAAAATACGAGTAAACTGTAAAAAGTATCCCTGTATAATCTTTAAATAGCAAAAAAACCTTATAATAAATAAACTAGCAAATACCCCATATAAAATTTAGTCAAATTAAAGGAAGAAAAACTTCTCTAGTTGACTTTCGTATGGCTCACTCGCTGGATGTGCGGCTAGTAGCTTATTTTTTGGACGTGAAATAATGAAATTGTCCCTCAAATTAAATGTATTTATATGTTTATATAATATATGTATATATATTTTATTTTCAATTTGATTTTTTTAGAAATTAAAATATTATTAAGAAAATAGTAAACAATGAAATTGATAATTTATTAAAAATTTGGTATTCAAATCAAGTATAGATTTTTGTAAATACAAAATAAAGAAATATATAATTATGGAATTTAAGTTTTCTTTTGATATAGGGATAATTTAAAATATATACAAGAACTATCTAATGATAAAAATAAAAATAAAAGAACGCATTGTACTTTTCTAATTAAGATATAGCAAAAATAAAATAATTCAAATATTTATAAATTATAGGAATTTATTAAGTACGTATAAAACTCGGGGGTTTCTATATTGTTTTTGTTAATATTTAGAAAACTTCATTTTGGTGTTGAAAATTTCGGGGTGAATCAGTAATGTTTAAAACTTCTAATATAAATGGTATTTAGGTAATTTCAAGCCCAAAACCGCATCCCCCATATGCACATACGACGAGTGTAGCGCACAATAACCAGTCAAGGGTCTTTTTTAGCTTGGACTAACTTTTATATGGGGGTCCTTGCTAATTTTTTGTAACATAGGGGTGTTTTCGGCAATTAGAAATTTCACAAGAGTAGTTTTTGAAAAAAAAATTATATTATGAGGTTTTTGTGAGAAAGTCCCTGATCAACCATCTTTATTATCTTAACTTTTAAGCTTAGATTAAGTTCATTCCTTTAATGTCTTATAAATAAAGGCAACTTAATATATAGGGATTATTTGAGAAAACCCCCTCATATGACATTTACAATTAGAGGGGGTCCATTTTTTTTTCCACATTTTGAGATAAATCCATTTATTTAAATATTATATAATTAAATCATTATAATCCTATTATACCCTTCTTAACCTAATCGTGTACTCATCTAAATTGAACCGCGTTAATCTATCGTTCCTCATTTCTATTCTCTTTCGTTCTATAACACACAATATTCATCTCCCCTAATAATCCGGCCACCCTTTCTTCGCCGACGCTTCGCCGAGATTCCCATGGCCACCGACACTTCGCCGAGATTCCAGAAGTCGGACCTCCTCCCCGTACCAGAAATCGCCGCCGCCGCGGTGGAGACGACGGACTTCACTTCTGCCAGTTCATGGTCGTCGGCTCGACCGCCGGCATGGTGGAGCACATGTGCCACTGTTGCCAGCGATACTGTGCTTACTCCCATGGATATGGTGAAGCAGAGGCTGCAATTGGGTAACATTCCGTACAAAGGTGTGTGGGACTGCGTGAAGAGAGTGCTGAGAGAGGAAGGGTTTTTTTCTAAATCCAATTCCTCTAGCCGTGAGTTTTTCGCAAATCCAATTCCAGATTTATATTTTCTTTGACTATGATTCTTAAATTTATTAGACAATTACATTACGAAGTTGATATGTTTTCCCAAAACGCAGAACGATTTGTCTCCTTCCCCCTATATTTTGTCGGCAAATAGATAAGTTCGTAATGGATTACGTTAATTCGTAGTGGATTATGTAAATTTTTATTCGATTTCGATACGTTTGTAGTGCACTATATTAATATGAAAGTTGATTACGATAATTTCATACTGATTTCTACGTTAATCGATAGTGGTTTTCGATGAATTTATAGTAGTTTTCAATGAGAATGTAGTGGATTTCAATCCATATATTACGTTAATTTTGTAGCGGATTATTTTTAACCTATAAAGTGGATTTTGATAACTTTGTAGTGGATTTTAATAATTTCGTAATGGATTACGTTACTTCGTTGTGGATTATGTAAATTTTTATTCGATTTCGATACGTTTGTAGTGCATTATATTAATATTAAAGTTGATTAGGATAATTTCATACTGATTTCTACGTTAATCGAATAGTGGTTTTCGATAAATTTATAGTGATTTTCAATGAGTATGTAGTGGGTTTCAATCCATATATTACGTTAATTTTGTAGTGGATTACTTTAACCTATAAAGTGGATTTTTATAATTTTGTAGTGGATTTTGATAATTTTGTAATGGATTACGTTAATTCGTAGTGGATTATGTAAATTTTTATTCGATTTCGATACGTTTGTAGTGCATTATATTAATATTAAAGTTGATTACGATAATTTCATAATGATTTCTACGTTAATCGAATAGTGGTTTTCGATGAATTTATCGTGTTTTTGAACGAGTATGTAGTGGATTTCAATCCATATATTACGTTAATTTGTAGTGGATTACTTTAACCTATAAAGTGGATTTTTATAACTTTGAAGTGGATTATGATAATTTTATAATGGATTACATTAATTCGTAGTGGATTATGTAAATTTTTATTCGATTTCGATATGTTTGTAGTGCATTATATTAATATTAGTTGATTACGATAATTTCACACTGATTTCTACGTTAATCGAATAGTGGTTTTCGATGAATTTATAGTGGTTTTCAATGAGTATGTAGTGGATTTCAATTTTTTGTTAAACTTGTGGTAAAAAAACCAATTAAAAAAATGAAAATTGAAAAAAAAAAAAAAATTTAATCGAAATTACAAAAAGATTGTAAAAGATGAATTTATAGTGGTTTTCAATGTGTATGTAGTGGATTTCATTTTTTTGTTAAACTTGCGGTAAAAAAACCAATTAAAAAAATGAAAATTGAAAAAAAATAAATATATTTTTTAAATCAAAATTAAAAAAGATTGTAAAAAGAATAAAAAAAAAAAAAAAAAGAAATGCGTGATTTGTATTAAGAGAGAGAGATTTGGGGGAGTTGGTGAGAGATTTAAGGGGAGTTATTTTAGGGGAGTTATTTAGCAATAATAATTTAATTATCTTTTTTTTTTTAGATATATTAAGGGTAAATAAGATATTAACCTTAAAGAAGGGGTTATCCCTAATAGTAAATAAAAATATGGATTTATGCCTCTAAGAAATTTGTATGAGGGGGTTATCTCATATAACCCCTAATATATATGACAAAATTATCCCCAACCATTTAAACTCAATTCTCAATTGTAACCCAAATTTAATTTTAATTTCATCAATTTTGACAAAAAAAAAAATTCCAATATTGACTTTTCCTTTTTCAAACTTTTTTTTTTCAGAATTTTTTTATACTGCAGGTTTCTGGCGTTGAATTTTTTTTTCCGCACGCTGCTAACCGGTGACAATAATTTTACCGTCGTTGACAACGACAATAATATTACTGTCAACCACATTAATAATTTTTTTTTTAATTTGTTGACCGATCAACGTAATACTATTAGTATCTACTATTGTAATATTATTGTGGTTGACAAAAATTACGGTAAACACAATAATATTGTTGTCAACCACACAAATTTTTTTCATTTATTTGTTGGCCTTTTATTTTGTTTGATTTGTTGACCAGTCAACCAAATAATATTGATGTCTGTTATTACAATATTATTTACAACAAAATTACTGTAAATACGATAATATTACTGTCGTCACAATAATATTAATATCAATGGCAATAATATTACTAATATTACTATCAACCACAACAATATTAATTTTTTTGACTTTTTATTATGTTTGTCTCTGTTAACTGGTCAACATAATAATATTATTGCATTACATAATAATTTATTATGTAACATAGTGATTAGCAATATCATAGAAAAAAGGCAAGTTGATGTTAAATTTGGTTAAATCGATGAAATTGGAACATATTAAAATGTGAGAGGACCCGACCCTTCAATGTATTGGGTCGCTTTCGGGCTACCAATATCAAGACCCGAGACTCGACGGGTCCACTTGGCGGGTCTACCCGTTAGATCCGACCCGAGGACCCAGGTATTAAACAACTTCGAACTCGGGCAAGAGTAGAAAGAATGGACAATTCTTACCACTAGGTCAACCAACATGCATGTTTGATTAGAGGTAGACCATAAATATATATATAATATAAAATGGCGGGTGTTAAATGATTTAAATGATATATA